ATTCCATCGGGGACGGAATCTACCCACAAACGAGGAGGAGGTCCACCCCCTTTGGTTACCAGAATACCGGTGTGCGATGTCATCAGGGGCGAAATCCTCCTCCTTGACATCAAAATGACCGATCCGGCCAGAATGACTGGACTGGTCGTACCTATTCGGGATGCTCTTAGCAAGCGATCTTCCCCACACGGTCCTCCCTCTGGTTGGATCGCCGGTACTGCCCATATGGATCATTAGATCGCCTTTGCCCCGCCTCTACCACGGTAAGGTGGCATCCTATGGGGAGGTGGGGAATTTTGACCATTACTAATCGTTTGGTAGTGGTTTAACTGTTTTATAAATAAAAATAACTTTTTTGTCATCAACTTTTGTAATTCTCATTAAAACCTCTATTTTCCTTACGATTACAATTTTAATTATCGTTCGTGATGAAATAAACATAAAATAGCTTCCATTAAAGCAAAATTACTAAATTATAGAGGTTTACTCGTCCCCACTCTTTCGTCACGTCACAGAGAATCCTAACGCACTTAACGTAGTGGTTATTATATTGAGTCTATTATATTGAGGGAAAAAGTTCGTGGCATTTTTCCCGATAGATGGCGTCAATTGCAAATAACTCAGGAAACAGATCGCAGCGACACCATTAAACGCTCGTTGGAAAGATGACACTTCGAGCATTACTTTGAGTGTATAAACATCAAAATTGGTGCAGTGGTTGGAAAGTTGTTTGCGTTTGAAAATGGAGAAAAGTAATGAAAAATTGCGCTATATTTTGCAATATTATTACTATAAAGGGAAGAACACTGCGCAGGCTTGTAAAAAAATTTGTGCTGTCTACGATGAAGGTACTTTATCAAAATCTGCTGCGCGGAAATGATTCGCTCGCTTTCGTCCTAGTAATTTTGATGTGAAAGATGAGTCACGCTCTGGTCGTCCAATCACTAAAAAAGCTGATGAAATTCTTGAAAAAGTCCAGCAAGATAAGCATATCAGCAGTGTCGATATTGGTATAGAGCTAGGCATTGACCACAAAACTGTTTTGAACCATTTACACAAAGCTGGCTACAAAAAGAAGCTCGACGTATGGGTTTCTCATGAGTTAAGCGCGAAAAACGTGATAGACTGAATTAACATTTGCGATGCGCTGCTGAAACGCAATGAAATTGAGCCATTTCTGAAACGTGTCATAACCGGTGATGAAAAATGGATCACGTACGACAATCGGAAGCGTCAAAGATTGTGGACAAGGCATGGTGAGCCGTCACAAACGTTCGCGAAGCCAGGATTGACGCCGAAAAAGGTGATGCTGTGTGTGTGGTGGGACTGGAAGGGAATCGTCCACCATGAGCTACTTCCAGTTGGTCAGACGATTGATTCTCAACTCTACTGTGGACAACTAGAGAGATTACGCCAGGCAATTGAAAGAAAACGGCCCGACTTGAATAATAGGAAAGGTGTTGTCTTCCATCATGACAACGCCCGATAACACACTTCTTTGATGACCCGTCAAAAATTGCGAGAGCTTGGTTGGGAAGTTTTGATGCATCCACCGTATAGTCCAGACATAGCACCCTCTGACTATCACTTGTTCCGATCTCTGCAGAACTTTCTCAATGGAATTAAGCTTTCAAAAGAAGCCCGTGAAAACCACTTGATTCAATTTTTCAACCAGAAACCACAGAAGTTCTTCACCGATGGCATTATGGCTCTACCCGAAAAATGGCGAAACATTGTCGATAATAATGGAGCATATTTGGTTTAAATAAATTCATTTTCTCACTATAAGAAAACCAGTTGAATTTTATTAAAAAAACGCCACGAACTTTTTTCCAGACCCAATATTATATGATACTGGTAGTGGCATTTTAGTTTGTTAGTTTCAGAGAAAATATTTTTTTATGTAAGTTATGTTTAATACCTACCTTGATAATTGGTATTTATAATCAAACTAACGCTTAAATTCAATTTTACATATCACATTGTCAATGAAAACCACTTGAAGCCGCCACTGGGATTCACGGTGATGTCAATACTCTTTCTTGTCGACGCGTCTTCTGCCTAGAAATTCGCCAATAAGCAAATCTTTATGGTTTAGTAACTTTGCATTAAATAAATGATTAAATTGATAAATGATGAAAATTATATATATTATGAAAGGATGCTGCGGGAAGTGCTTTTTTAAACTTGGCCGGCCAACCTAACACTCGCAAATTCGATTTTCATTAATAATTACTATTATTTTCTATCAAACGTCAGGAATTGACTACCAACCGTAAAAATATGACCACCAAAAAATTTGTTACAATGAAAGTTACACAGAATATCGCGACAAGAGAATGTCGCGTAACATTTTTTAAACTTAGAAGGTCAACTTCACAAATGCAAACTCGACTTTCACTAATAAACAATTTTGGCTACCAAACGTTGGGAATGGACTACCAAACGCTACCAAACGCTACAAAACGACCACCAAACGATTGGTAATAGTCAAAATTATCCAGGACACCGTGAAAACGATTTTCGAGACGGAGGGGCCAACTTCACATACAATTTTTATTTTTTGCGAGAACTATTTCACTTTTGACTACCAAACGTTAGGAATGGACTATTAAACGCTACCAAAAAAACGACCACCAAACGAATGGCAATGGTCAAAATTAAATTCTTGGTCGGGGGGCCAACTTCACACAGCTGCTAGAGGCGGGGTTACGCCGCAAGCAGCGAACGGTGCGTGAAACGGCCAGGCGCAGAAAAAATATTGTCCTTGCATTTTTTCGGCGACAGGAAAATGACACACGTTATCATTGCCATACCACCTTGCGATAGATAGCGTGGTGCGTTTTATTTTATAGTGATTTCCCCGGTAGGCCTAATTCACTCTCATAATTTAATGCAAAAACTAAAAGATGTTGCACGCGCTAATAATACTACGGGTATAATTCATTATTAAAAGTACGATACACTGCGTAACGCGAGAGATTGAATACAATTTCCGCACAACGCACGCTAGTCCCGAGGTTTTTGTAAAACACTCACAAAATTCTTCTTTTGAATTCGAAAACACGTAGACGAGCGTATCTACACTGCGCATTCAATGTCGTTTACGCGTTACACACATTTCACTGTTATATGTGTCACACCCTTATAGGGTTTTGTTCACGTTCGCAAAATCACTACGGATAGATTTCAGCCGCGACATACGAATATTTTTTGCTGGTTCGTAGGCAATTATCGTATCAGTATACTTCTGTAGAATAAATCTTATTGTTGCCACACACTACGCAAACACGAGAGTTTAACACGATTGTAGGCATGTATGTCGTTTGTGCGGATCACCAATATTGAACAATGACGATAAAAATTAATGCATCTGCTATCGTATACAATGCTCGGCGCACTGATCCGGGTTTCTCATCCAAAAGTCAGCTGAAATTATGTTTGTCATTTGTCTACGTCTATTGTTTTTGCCTGTATATATGACGTACAGTCGCCTGCAATTCTCGTGTTGTGCAGCGACAATAAAATTTACTTCGCAAAAGTACTGATATGAAAAATGCGTGTGCAGCGGCTAAGATCTATGCGTAGTGATTTTGCGAACGTGAACGACACCCTATAGGACGTGTGACAGTGAAATGTGTATAACGCGTGAACGACATTGAATGTGCAATGTAGACAATGTGTGTGAAGTTGTGCTAGTCGAATATAACCAGAAACTATTAAGACATGTTTCGAGAATTGCACAACTTGCAAAAAAATTAGCAAAAAGTGGTGGGCCAAAAAAATTCTTTTTATATTTTCGAAATTTTGAAAGTTGTGCCATGTTGTGCTAGTCAAACCCAACAACTTTTCCTGATGGCAAAATTATTCCAGACCACTGTAATGACTACAACAATTTTTTTGGCCCACTACTTTTTGCCAATTTTTTGCAAGTTGTGCAATTCTCGAAACTCTTAATAGTTCTTAATAGGTCTTAATAGTTTCTGGTTGTACTCAATTAACACAACTCAGCACATGTCGCAGAATTCGTTTATCTGTCACGGTTCAAAGGTTTTATGTGAATAAACATTATATCTTAAATTCGAAATCTTTGATATTGTTTTTCTCTTGAACGGAAAGAAATAGAGTTCTTATCTTTGCCGCACAACTTTTAATAGCCAAGGCTGCAAACCAGCACGATTTTTGTTTTTTCGAAAAAACAAAATAGCGGTGCTGGCCAAAATATTGTTTTTTTTATTTGTCGCTTTGTTTTTTGAGATAGGCGATTGGTTCTTGCGGCACAATGTGGTACAAACCTAGTACAACTCAGCACAATTTTGTTTTTTACGGAATTACGAAATGGCGATGCTAACTTCACACACATGTGTAGACACGCTCGTGCACAAACGTGTTTTCGAATTCAAAAGAAGAATTTTGTGAGTGTTTTACAAAAACTTCGGGACTAGCATGCGTTGTGCGGAAATTATATTCAATCTCTCGCGTTACGCAGTGCATCGTACTTTTAATAATGAATTATATCCGTAGTATTACTAGCGTGTGCAACATCTTAGATTTTGCATTAAATTATAAGAGTGGATTAGGCCTACCGGGGAAATCACTATAAAATAAAACGCACCACGCTATTTATCGCAAGGTGGTATGGAAATGATAACGTGTGTCATTTTCCTGTCGCCGAAAAAATGCAAGGACAATATTTTTTCGGCGCCCGGCCGTTCTCACGCACCGCTTGTTGCTCGCAGCGTAACCCCGTCTCTAACTACCAGCCGATTCTCGCCGTTGCTAGGAGAATGTAAGAATAGCCATTTTTCTTATACATTGAAAGCCATCTTTCTTTATACATGCCCACGGAGTCCGGTTTTCCGCTTCACGTGCGCTCATTGGCCTAGACGTTTTAATTAATAACTTAATAACTATTGCGATTTCAGCAAAATGGTACATGGCTTTTCTTTTCAACTTAACACATTAAGCGCGGAGCCGATTTTGCTGAGCTTTCCGTTCAGGCGGCATGCCGACGCGGGCGGCGACCACTCGACGAGTGTTGGGTTACATAGTATAAACAGAAGATACACACATATCGCGGTGCTTCACTTTCCGTTTGGACTATGGCACCGCCAATACAGAAGTGTACAAAGTATAAACAAAAGATAATCAGATGGAGAACGGTAAGAAAGCGATCTCCAAAAGATGATCAGTTAGAAAAAGCCCACGGAAGTGTAAAGGTTCTTTGAGCAGAGAGAATTTTAGTTCGTTGTGTTTTATAAAATAACTTTTACAGTCATTATTTTCAAAAAAATTTATTACTCATAATACTGAAAATGTTGAGAGGAGAAGGAGATAACGATTCATCGAGTGAGTCATTTTTAACCTTGATACTGCCGGTCCCAGGGACCGACGCTGCCCAAACGAAAAGTTCATTGTCAGTCCCCAGGGATCAACGCCGCGCTTAACGTGTTAAACCAATCTACCTTCACACTTCGGGTTGGCAGCTATTGGGAGTACAAATTAGTTCGGTCCGTTTTTTTGTGTTAAAAAATGTATTTATTTCAAAACAAAATGAATAAACAGATCAATTAAAGTATTTTCCATTGCTGGCTACTACTTTCTCCCATTTCTCAGGCAATTTTCGAATTCCATCTCGAAAAAATGACTCGTCTTTTGAGACGATCCAAGTTTGGAGCCAATTTTCGATTTCTGCGAAAGAAGTGAACCGGTGACCTGGCAAATCGTGCTGCATCCTTCGGAACAACCAGTAATCAGAAGGAGCAATGTCCGGAGAATATGGCAGGTGCGGTAAAACATCCCATTTGAGCGCTTCCAAATATTTTTTACGACTTTTGCGACATGAGGCCGAGCGTTGTCATGAAAAAGAATAACTTTATCATGTCTTTGCTCGTATTCCGGCCGTTTTTCTCGCAATACACAGCTCAAACGAATCAATTGTAGCCGATACCGATCGCCTGTAATGGGATCTCCAGATTTCAGCAGCTCATAGTAAACAACACCCTTTTGGTCCCACCAGATACAGAGCATGATCTTCGAACCATGTATGTTCGGCTTTGGTGTTGATGTTGAGGTCGATGGCAACAATTGACCGGGCTTGGCGTAGTATTTTTTCTTCTTGGGGTTGTTGTAGAATATCCACTTCTCATCTCCAGTTACAATCTGATGCAAAAAACCTTTTCTTTGTTGCCTTTGAATCAGCTGTTCGCAAGTGAAAAATCGCCTTTCAACGTCTCTCGATTCCAGTTCATAAGGCACGTAATTTCCTTGTTTTTGAATAAATCCGATGTCTCTCAATCATACGGAAATGGCTTGTTGAGTCACTCCCAATGATTCTACAATCTCCTCTTTGCATTTGACTCTGATCTTCTCCGAGTAATGCCTCTAATTCTTTGTCCTCGAATTTTTTTGGCTGTCCAGAGCGAGGCTTGTCTTTGACGCTGAAATCTCCATCCTTGAAACGTCGAAACCATTCCCTACATGATTTATCAGTTGGAGCAACGTCACCATAAACTTCAACAAGCATTCGATGGGCTTCAGCTGCACTTTTCTTCCAAAGCAGAAAATTAAAACCTCCCGCAAATGCTGCTTGGTTAACACAAAATTCGACATTTTCAACACTGTAAAAAGCAAGGTTTTTGTATGAAACTCAAAGCGATATAAACTGAATATTGGCAGATGTCTAACCTCTCTGAAATCGCCAAAATCGGCAGTCACTATGAACCATTCATAACAGCCGGAGCCATCTTTTGAAAACGGACCGAACTAATTTGTACACCCAATAATTACCGGACACTCTGTATAATTGTGTCTGCTAAGAAACATTCTGTATAGTACTGTTAATATTTACACGGAAAATAATATAAATAATAAGTTAGTTTTGGTAAATGTTTTTTTTAAATACGTTCCTAATAAATAATTCTAATTTTAGATATTGTATTTTTTTAGACTTGTCGAGACAACATTTGTTTGCCAATAAGGACTCATTATTGTTTGAACTCATTTTCCGCATGCAATAAAACTAAAATATCAGGCTTTTGCACAAACTCTACATGTACAAATATTATAAAAGGATTGAAATACATAATTCATCACAATGGTTCTGCTGGTATCAACAGTATTGATGCATATTTCAATATAGGGAATGCTTCTCGTGCTTTTTACCAATATTACGAAGTTCATTTTGATTGGAGCAACACGAATAAATCAAAAGTCTTTATTCGTAGTGGAAATCCTGGCTATGTAATAGGCAAACCAATTATTATTGGATTATCTCGCATGAATGAAAGTAACGAAATTCTTTTTAATAAGAGTAACGCGTTTCTCACATTGCCATTGGCTAGAAGAAATGGAGAATGTAGTAAACATATTGTTGCCTTCGGTGAAGATATTAAGTTAAGATGTTTTGTTAAGTTATTTACTAAAAATTTCACCACGTCATCTTGCACAAAGTTACAAAATATGACATTGCATCTCTTGATGAAAGATTCCTTGCTAAATGCGAGTCAGCATTATAGTGTTTATGTTTCTAAATTAGGCAACGTTACCACCAAATATATGGACTGGTTGCGTATTACATTCGATAATATACCACAAAATGTTGTAACTGCGCATATACTCGGAAAACAAATTTCATGTTCAGGATTAGTTACATCTGTACACTTAGATGTCCTTTATTCTATATTGCCAAAAACAAAAACTTTAATGAATTATAAAATATTGGGAGTCGGCGTAATGTTTGGTAAAGAAAAGGATATTACCTGGCCAAAATGTACAACAAAAAATTGCACAAACATCCTTCACGTTGACATACTTTCCTATGTCAATTTTCATGACGTTACAAAACCATCTAAAAATTATTTTGTCGGTGGACCAAATGTAGATATTACATTGCCTTATGATTTTTTCTATCCTTTTTTAAATAGCTCGAAACAAATAGAGATATTAAATATATTGATCTTAATTTTAAGTATAACATTATATAATATATAGGATAACATACAATTATGTAACATATAATATAATAAATATAACATTATATAACATAACTTTATGTTTATATGTGTGTGTGTGTGTGTACTAGGTCTGTAAATATGAAACCGGAATTTGTCCATAGATGGCCCTAGTTATCAATGTAGTTACCGTCAAACCGCGTCATTGGCGCCATTTCCATTTATTGACATCTGACAAAGATTTTCAACTCATAACAATACAAGTTTCATACAACAGCATAGTTTGTAATAGCGTTGAACATGTCGAATTTTGTGCCTGGAAACTACGATTTGCGGGCAGCATTGATTTTCTGTTACCATTTGAGGAAAACTGCTGCAGAATTGCATCGAATGCTTGTCGAAGCTTACGGTGAGCATGCTCTTGGTAAATCACAGTGCTTTGAGTGGTTTAAAAAATTCAAGCATGACAATTTTGACGTGAGAAACGAAGAACGTGGAAGACCGAAAAGGTTTGAAGACAGCGAATTGCAAGCATTGTTGGATGAGGATGACGCTCAAACGCAACAACAACTCACGGATCAACTAAATGTTACACGAGAAGCCGTCTCCATACATTTGAAAGCCATGGGAAAGATCCAGAAGATGGGAAAATGGGTTCCACATGAACTGAATGAAAGACAGCAGGAAAACCGAAAAACCACTTGCGAAATGCTGCTCGCCAGGTACAAAAGAAAGTCATTTCTCCATCGAATTGTAACTGGCGATGAAAAGTGAATATATTTTGAGAATCCTAAGCGTAAAAGATCATGGGTAACTCCAGGCGAACCATCGACATCGACTGCAAGGCCAAATCGCTATGGACGCTCTGTATTTGGTGGGATCAGAAGGGTGTAATCTATTATGAGCTACTAAAACCTGGCGAAACCGTTCATACTGAACGCTACCGACAATAAATGATCGATTTGAATCAAGCTTTGCGTGAAAAACGACCAGAATATGAAAAAGGCAACACAAAGTGATTTTGCTTCATGATAATGCACCATCACACACAGCAAAACTGGTGAAGGAAACGATTGAGGCGTTTAGTTGGGAAATACTTTCGCATGCGGCTTACTCACCAGACTTGGCTCCGTCCGATTACTACTTATTTGCATCGATGGGCCACGCACTTGCTGAGCAGCGCTTCATTTCTTACGAAAATGTACGAAAATGGCTCGATGACCGGTTTGCCTCAAAAGAGCAACAGTTGTTTTGGCGTGGCATCCACAAATTGTCAGACAGGTGGGAAAAATGTATTGCTAGCGATGAGCAATACTTCGAATAAAATACTTTTTATCATTTTCATATAATAAACGTGTATTTTCTATACAAAAATTCCGGTTTCATATTCACATACCTGATATACACAAGATGTCTCATAATTTACAAGAAGAAACCACTTTCGGGTCATCGATTTCGCCGTAATTGCTCTGTATGTAGTACGTCCAGAATATTAAAAGATGCTAACAGGATACGACGCACCTCTCAAGCGTTTTCGAGAAAAAACGCTGTTTCGCGAGGAACGTAAGTGCAGTTATAGTGGTAAGGCTATCAAGTAGCGGCGGTAGCGGAGCACGCTAAGCGACTCGCTACGGACCTGTAGATCGCTTGTTCGTGTCCATGCTGCTTTTGATCTTTTCTTTTTTTGTTTTTTAATACGATTATAGGATTATGCTAATATAAAAATATATATAATAATGCGCACGACATTTCCTTTCCAGTATGACGAACATGAGACACTGTAAATATAAAACAAATGTTAATTAGTAAGCATGTAGGCGATGCAATAAATTAATGCGATATACAGGGTGTCCCATTTTAACTTTCGCATTAAAAAATCTCGAAAACTATGAAAGATATTAAAAACAGCTAAAACACGTTTTCTATGATTTCAAAGGGGAAAGAGAATGGCATTATCAGTTTTTTATTTGGGGGGCATTTTCAACGTCAGTTGAAGGTCAACTTAATTTTTTAAAATAGAAAGCTCAATTTTTTATTATATTGTTGCGCTCACTCTCGCACTCGCGCTTGCACTCAGGTAAATGAAAACACTCGCGTAAGAATAACAAGATTTACTATATACAGCGCAGCTCACTCAAGCTTTAAACAAGAATAATTCTCTGATCTACAATTCTCGCGTCTGTCTACGATGACAGCTTGCCAGAGACTCTCTGTCAGCTGTTGTTGTTTTCTTCTTAACGATTTTCCGTCGTCCAGACAATCTTCGTTCAGTTGTCAAAATCAGCATCAGATGCCTAAGGCTCACGGACAACGGATGCTGTCACAAACGTTGTGGCTCGGACACAACAATATCTTCTTTTTCTACCAATTAATTTTAACAACTTTTGTCTGAAACATTTTTTTATTTGTCTAATATTTTTTGAAATATTTAAGGAAAACTTGGTAACTTTTTCAACATTTAACTTACGATATCTGGTTAACTATTCGTCGAAAGAAAAAATAGTATTAGACTTTTTTACTTTATTTACTATGAAGAATATATTACTATAATAGTGCCCTAACTTTTGTTAATTTAATAATTTTGAAATTTCCAAAGGTCGATAAGTATTGTAAAACTTTTATAGAAAATATTTTTTCGTATACCTCGTACTTTAGACGATATTCGCAAAGAATGAAAATGTTAGTTTTTTAGGACGGTTGTTTCATCCCTTAGAAAGCTTGAGATACACCGATAAAAAAATACGTGTCTAATAGTTTTTGATGCTCTACAACATATCTAAAGCCCATCAAAATAAAAAATGAGGGACAGTTCCGACGGACAGGTTTCCTCATCAATGATTTTCAGCAGTGCTACAAAGAGCTCACTTATAAATTTATTATTTACTAAAAAGCTACATTTCTATACATCTATTATTTTCAGTTATTACAAGCACAAGATATTATTTTTAATGTTTCGTATTAATTTATCTAATAGAGATGCTCAAATAATAGATAGTGATATATGCGTATTTAAATATGTATATGTATATGTGTTAGGCTCAAAGACCGAAAACGCTCACTGAGCGAAAAAACCGAGCACAACGCGTTTTGACTTCTTCGATTTAGCCATAACGCGTAATTCGTGTCGTGGCACTTTCAAAAATGCTCACAACGCGTTTTGGCATCTTTGAACAGGCCATAAAGCGAAATTCGTGTTGAGGTTTTTTAGATAATCGACCAAAACGCGTCCTGGCAATGTAAAACTGCTACAACGCGGTTTGTACGCCTATTGATGCAGCCATGCAGTGATAAAAATAAAATTATGAAGAAATAATTAAGATTCTAAAGTAAAAATTAACAGTTAGCCGTTTTAATCCTATGGCTCTTACAATAAAATTTAAAACAATTCAATTTCTATGATAGAAACTTCCATTCATCAGTATTTTTTTACTAATAATAATATAATATATTATTTATTAATAATATAATATATTATTTGTCTCTGTGTAAGAGTTTTCTTATCAAAAAAGATCGCAAAATTTTTGCAATAAATTGACAAAATCACTTACAAATAAATTTTTTTTATTTGACTAAAATCTACAATTCTTTTCTTTTCATATGTGGATATTGAGGATTCATAAAACAAAATAATTGACAATAAATTGTCTTCTTGACTGAAAATTATAAAAGAAAATGAACAGTTACCTTTTTTTATTAATACTATGGTTCTTTTAATCTAAGAAGATTTTGTTATAAAAATCTTTATAACAAAATCAATATTTCTTTAATAATAAACATTGTTCAGAATATACAGGATGTCCGGAATGTGATCATTAATATTTTGTGTACTGGTAGAACTCGTTAAAACAATTAAAAAAGTCCTGTGCCATTTTACAATTTTTTCAATATTTATTCCGTAATTAATTAAAATGTGTAAACGAATGAGCGCACGAGAAAGCGACAGGACGGGCTCTGTGTATAAGAAGATGGCTTACCTCGCGCGGCGAAAGGCAACCGTAAGCGACAAGAGGCATACGCGCGCGACGAGGAGCGAGCAAGCGCGAACGACGAGCGAGCGAGCGCAAGCGACAAGAGGCGGCCGCCCAGCGCTCTCTACGCGCTCATTGGCTCACATGTTTCAATTAATAACTCGATAACTATTGCCAATTTGACATTACAGTACATGACTTTTCTTCTCGGCTACACCCAATCTACCAGTACACAAAATATTAATGATCACATTCCGGACACCCTGTATATTTGTCCCTTTGTAAGAATTATTAATATATAAATTATTTATTTTTGCAAGAATTATTATTGTGACATTTGGAATTGCACTTTATATTTCTGGAGAGACATTTGCATTTTTTGTCAATGCAGTATTTTTTACAGTGACAGCTTATAAAACCTTGCTTGCTTCCAAATGACAACATAGAAGCCAAACGAAGAGTTAGTGAAGTTAAGAGCACGTTTTGTTGTTCAATAAAGTTGTTCTCGGCAACTATAAGTTCATTGCGAGCATAAAGTCGTTCAAGGAGCCCTTTTTTGGTAATTATCAATTACAGGGTTTTAATAAAACCCTGTAATTGATAAAACCCTGATGAATTAATTCCGGCAACAACACCTAAAACATTTCTGGGAGCTGCGCGTCCTCTGTCAACATCAGACACTTTGATCGCAACATTAGTTCCAGTAGCAACTTCAGGAAATTTTAAATTAGAAAATGAAATCATTTTTCGTGCTTGTTGTTTTTGACCAGATTTAGCACATTCTCTCTCAACGCTGATACTATTCTTCCTTATACAAAGTTTGCAAGTGACGTTCTGTCCGAAGCCCTCATTATTCTCATCACTTTTTCCGCAAATAACGTGAACATATTGATGACATTCTGAGCACTTGTGAACTCCTGAGGTTTCGTTTTCACAAATCACACAATAAATTTTGCTGTCATCTTTTTCTTCTGATTCTTGTGTAACCTTTCCAGTTTGAGATCCATTTTTATCTTCATTAGGTTGTTCGTTAACTTCTTCTTCGTCAGTCTTATCTTGATCATTATTCTTT